GGCTGCCCGCCTTTTCTGTTGCTCGCCTCGCCCCGCCTCGCACCTGCCTCTCCTCCTCCTCCTCGCTGGATCTTTCATGAAGGTTGGGGTGGGCGTTGGGCCGCATTATGAGGCGACCTGGGCCGCATGCGGCCCGTGGGCCGCGGGTTGGACAAGCCTGCTATAGCATATATACTACATGCTATGTAATATACTATGTAATATAACATTGCATTATATTATACACATTACAGTAATATATGTAATATATAATATGCTATGTAATATATGATATGCTATATGTAATAGTATATTCAGGGGTGGGATGCTACCACTTCTGCCCAGCTCTGTAGAACTGGTAGCTCTGAAGAGCAGCAGACACTGAATCGGTTCTGTGTTTGCTGCTATTTGGCCCACCCACCTGCCCAGGCTCTTACCTGTCCTTTATTTCCTGCTTTTTCAACCTTAGCTGCTTTGCATGGCACAGCTGAGGTTGAAAAAGCAGGAAAAAAGAGGCTTTTCAAATGCACTTGCGCGCTGCGCTTTTCAGCTCTCTGGGCGGCACAGCTTAAGGTTTTTTTACAAACACACGCAGCATGGCTTTCATGCCTAAGGTAGCACTAAAACTCAAAATCTCCTAGTTTCTACCACAGTGCCTTATCTACTATAAAATACTTACATATTGAATACGGAAGAAAGCATGTACTACATTCTCAAAGGTAAAGAATAAGAAACCTTGGCTTTTCCAGCTTGGAAATGCCAACATAAAACAAGGACACTCACTCAGTTTTGTTCTACAAATTTAGAAAAACTGAGTTACGTTATCTGATAAACTAGAATATGCAAAACCTTTCAGGAATTTATTTGTTTAAATTTCACCAGAGTTTAAATTAGCTATAAAAACATTCTAAAAGAACACACGATCTACCCTTGCCTCAATTCCTTATTAGAAAGACGCACATGATGGAAAAAATAATGGTACTCTACTCTAAAAGCTTATTCAGTTATGCTTTTAAAAACATTCCATGAGTTAGAGATGTGGAAATAGGACAAGTAGCTTTCATTGGATCTTTTACATCTGCTATTAAGCTAGGAAGAATCCAACCAATGCTATATCTACAAACGCTATATCTTTCATCAATACTTCTGAATCTTTGTTACGAATAGAAGATAAATAACATCTTTTAAAATCTATCACTCAGAGGACAAGTTCTGTTTGAAAATCTAGTACAAAATAGATTTCACTTTATATGAAAAGTATGAGAAGCAGACACAAAGAAAAAGGATGTGGACACGATTTGGAACAGAATGAAAAGAAATATGTTACAGAGTGCCACTAAAATGTTTGGTTATGATTATGAAGTAGGAAAAAGGGTGCTTCATAAAATGATTAAACGGTAAGGCATTTGAACAATCATATATGGAACAAAATTATTAGTGCAAAAATGAAGAAATAAGAGTATTATATAATATACAAAAGAAAAGATATAGTTGAAATGAACATAATCAAAAACTGTGATTGAAAGAGGCAGAGAAAATATAAAGCAATTGTACTGGAAATTTAAATATAGAAATGGAGGAGTATATCCACTATACAAGTGAAGTATAACTTCCCTAATATATTTCTTTGTTGAAAAATGAAGTAGGCCTAGTATAGCTCCCCTATGTATTCTACAATATACTGCCAACCCCAAAACATGCTTAATTACTAATATTTTCTGCCATGGCATGTGCCCTATGGAACATCACCCCATTGGCATTTAGGTTGCCCCTGCTCCTGCTGACTTTTTGAAAGACTCTAAAACCATGGTTCTGCCAACAGGTATGGGGGAATCTAGGAATGCGGTGGAGACCACATGATGACTATATCGAATGCTATTGGTAAATGTAACTGGCTGTTAACGTTACGAATATTATGACAACTTTTTATATGGTCTTATATTTTTGTTTTAAAATGTATAATTGGGGCTCTTTTACATTGCTGTGTCTGTCTGTAAGCCATGCAAATATATGTAAGCAATTCATTAGATAGGTATAAATTAGAATAAGCAAACAACTTCATTGTAACTTGTGATGATTACCTGGATCAAAACTTAGATCTGATCTTAATTCTCGAGAATGAATTAAACTGCCTTTAAAGGGTCATACATTTTAAATGTTACATTTAAACATTTTAAACCACACATATATAATGCAAAAAAGAGACTCTCCACTTTTGTAAGTTGGGTTCTCTGATAATGCATAAGGAGTTTCAGAAATACGCAAGTTTTAAAAATAACTTTTTGCGTATATCAATAAATACAAACAAGCATTTTTATATGAAGAAAGAAGGTCAGGCGTTTAAATAAGATCAAGCATAAAAAGAAAGGCAAGTATTTGAACTTAGCCTCAGATCTGCGAAACCAAATT